GACATGCTGTCCTTAGTATTCCAAAGTGAGATCTTATTCCTGACAAGCCCATAGCAGCCCAGTGCGAGGGCTGTTCTCAGCGGTCTGTTGACAGCTTAGAGGCGATGTGAGAGGTCGAGGGAGGAGGCTGGACCTGAGGCCTGAGCTGCTGGAGGCTGTGGCTTCATGCACCTGTTCCATGAGCTTCTCATTATCTGTTTGTTTCCTTCCAGCTGTGGCAGTGATCCAGTCCATTCCAGTATTCAACGAGTCAGGAAGGTTCAGTTTTACTTTGCCATATCCAGTGAAGATGAAAGTCCGATTTTCCTTCTTCCTTCAGGTTTACCTTGTGATGTTATTCTTAGGTAAGTACTGGCTATATATGCACATTTCTGCCATGTGTTAGACAGGAGAGCCAAGCGCTTCTGTTCAGCATCCTTGTTACAGTTCTACTTCTGAAAGAGTGGCAGGGAAGGTTTTGAAAACAGACCGGGTAGGAGTATGCTGCATATGGAGATCTTTTCTTTTTGGTCTAAGTAGCTGAACTATGACTTTCTTGGTCACTGGGAGTCTGTCTGAGATATGGATATTGGGGAAATAGCACAGGTTATCTCTTGAGGAGTGACTAAGGAACCCTTCTAGAGCAGGAGATAGCTATGCTGCCTCTATTCTGACTAGCTTGAGGGCTGAGGCAGGGTTGCTTAAGCACAGGAATTTGAGCCCAGTCTCAAAAAAAAACTGAGATATAAGATGGGCAGTCATGCGCACACCTTTAATCCCAGCACTCCAGAGGCGGAGGCAGGCAGATCTTTGTGAGTTCAAGGCCAGCCTGGTCTACAGAGCAAGTTCTAGGACAGGCTCCAAAGCTACAGAGAAACCCTGTTTTGAAAACAAAAACAAACACGTTGAAATAGAGCTCCTGCCACATTTCCTGGAGCGGCACATTAATTCCTCATCCACAGGTTAGAGGTGGAATTATAAGCTGGGCAGTAGTAGTGCACACCTTTAGTCCCAGCACTCAGGAGGCAGAGGCAGGAGGTTCTCTGAGTTTGAGGTTGTGAGTGAATTCTAGGACAGCCTGGGCTACACAGAGAAACCCTGTCTCCTGGAGGAAGAAAAGAAAGGTGGAAATACAGCTGGTGGCAAGGGAAGGAGGTAGTGATGGCCTCTCAGGTTGTTGGAAAGCTTCCTGCTGGTCATGACCACCTACTTAGCAATTTAGGTTTGTATAAAACATAAACTCTAAATTAATTCATATAAGTTAAGAACTAATGGGAACAAGAAATAAACCTTAGGGGGCTGGAGAGATGGCTCAGCAGTTAAGAGGGCCTGAGTTCAATTCCCAGCATCATCCAGTATCTCACAACCATCTATAGTGGGATCTAATGCCCTTTTCTGCATAATGGCATACCTGCAGATAGAGCACTCACACACATTAAATAAATAAATAAATAAATAAATCTTTAAAAAACATTTTAAAAACCCTTATTTATTTGAAAGGTAACGTAAAGGATTCCTTTTAAATGTCTGTTTAGATTTTAGATTTTATATATATATGCCTGCTGTCTTAGTTAGGGTTTCTGTTGCTGTGAAGATACCATGACAATTGTTATAAAGAAAACTGTTAATAGGGGTGGCTTGCTTACAGTTTCAGAGGTTCGGTTCATTATCATCATGATGGGGGAGCATGGCAGCGTATAGACAGATGTGGTGCTGGAGTAGCTGATATGCCTACGTCTTGTAGGCAACAGGAAGTCAGCTAAAAGTCACACTGAGGGAAGCTTGAGCAAGAGAGACCTCAAAGTCCACCTCCACAGTGACACACTTCCTCCAGCAAGGCCATACCTATTCCAACAAAGCCACACCTTCAAATAGTGCTACTCCCTCTGAGATTATAGGAGCCATTACATTCAAACTATCACATCTGCTATATTTGGTTTAGTGGACTTAAATAAGCATAGCTGTCTACATTGCTGGTAACAGCAGGTTCAACCACTAGCAGCTGAAAAGCAAGTATTTTTTAAATCAATTACTGAGAGCCAGGAAGTGGCCTAGGAGGTGCTTTTGGTTCCAGGTCTCACAGACTTCGAGTCAGGCCTGCTGGGGCTGTAACTTCCATAGATTAGACCTCACATGCGGGACCATTACTTACCCTCTCCATGTGACTGCTCCTGACATGTCTTTACTGAGTGAGAAGAGGGACAGCCAGAAGCCATAGCACCTTCTGTAACCTACTAGCAGAAATGCATGCCATAATCCAGATTGGCAAGGTATGAAATACTGGAGAGGGGTCATAATGACCATCTTAGAGGCTGCCACTCTGAATGGCAAGAACAGTACCCGTACCCAGAGGAGTTAGAAAGCCTAGTGATCTCTGTCACTTAGTGTGGGAGTCCTAACTCCCTTGGGATCCCCCAGGATCTAGTAAAGATGTTGGAGTTCCTGTGTGGCGGCTCACATTTATAACCACAGCAGCAGGGAGACTAAGGCTAGTCTGGGTAATAGAAAGTAATCCAAGAAAGGATAGGACTATTTTTATATGCACCGACTCTGTTATCTTTCCTTTCTGTTACTGTTGCTAATTTTGCAAGGTGTGCATCCTTCTTGAGAATGAAGAAGTCCCAACTTCAGGTCTTCACCAGGTAGTGCATATTCGTAGGTCAAGGAATTTTCTATACCATTCTCTCACAGTAAGTCTGTGGAGGGTTTTCATCCCTGTTGTACAAATGAGGGAACGGAGGTGAGGCTAAGCTTCAGAACTTACTGGCCAGGTAGAATTGGAACTTGACTCTGAAATCCTGTTTCCTCACTACTGTGTTGTTGGTCTAGACTGCTGCTTACTAAATGTGTTCTTGAATAGTCTTGCAGGTTTTGATTTGGGCATTTCAATAAATGCATAAGGAGAAAAACAAGCAAAAAAATTTTTGAACTTAATCATTTATGTAAGGGTATAAACTGTATCGATGATCATATCAATATTAAAATGTCTCAAAAATGATCAAAATCTGATCAAAAATGATCAGATTAAAAAATGGTCAGATGATCAGATTATAGGAGATAAAGTATGATAAAAAGTTAAATCTAAGTTGTCCACTATACAGGATTTATCCTTGTCTAAACCTGCACGGCGGAGCATGAGGCTGGTGGGACCTTAAGATGTATCTGATCAATACATTGAGTGCTGTGAAGCACGGGAAACAAACCACAGAACCTCCACTTCCAGCCACAAAGACATCTAATCAGTGTTTTCTTTTTTTGCAGGGTTATATATTAATTTTCGTCACCTTTATAAACAGCGCAGGCGGCGGTATGGACAAAGAAAGAAAAAGCTCCACTAAAGAGAAATTCGGTAGCTTTGTGCCGGGTTGAGCTGAATCTATGATTCTTACCATTTTACCTTCTTGTACTGATGTAAAAGTTATTGTTATTATTTTTTAAGTAAGGCTATCTCCTTTCCCCAGTAACATTCCTGAACTTAACTGTATTTTATCTTAGTGTTGTACTTGCATGACATGGATTTCTGGTATCTGACAACAGGTTCATGCTTCTGTATTTAATGACAGCTAGACTGGCCCTACATGTCAGTCTGCTCTTCCCTACAGGTACTGTCTTATCTTTACAGTTAGGACACAACTACATTTCTCCATTGAAAATTATCCAAAGTGACCCAGGCAGGACCTAATATATATTATACCCAAAGGGTTACTTGTTTAGGGGGTAGAACTGACATTTTGAAAATCAGGTAAATTTGGTCATTGATTAAACATTTTTGAGTAGGGCTACATCTCCAGAGTAGGGCTGGAGAACACTTTGAATTTGATGTCTTTTGCTTAAAGACTTTCACTACTACAGCACTTAGCAGCATGGGCATCAAAGAGGCAGAATGATTTAAAGCCATCAGAACCTGGGAACATCATGAATATTTCATTCTTAGCTAAATCAGAACTGTCTGCAACACTGGAGAAAGAGGGAGCATTACTTGCAAAACACTGATATTATAAGTTCCAAATGTGAATGAATGGCTGCAGGGGTCAGAAGGAAACAGATTTGGGGAGCTAGACAGCTGTTCTAATGGGAGCCAGTGGCAAATACTAAAGTAGGCCAGATACACCTACAAGCTGTCCTGGGCTGTGCACACAGTCGGCCTACAATTCTTGGACTAGCTCATTGTCTTGTATTTCTTTGAGTGATTTGAACTTTAGACTCCTGTTTATTTTTATTTTATTTTTTAAAACCTGTGCACAGTGGGAACTTGAGCTGGGAAATCACCAGGATTCCTGCAGGAAAACCCCCAAAAGGGGAACTGAATAAAACCTAGACCTTAGGGCTGGCCTTTGTACAAGATGTCGTCAGTCTCACTACCATATTCCATGTAAACCTAGTGATGAGGTAACACTACAAACAAGAGCTCTTCTACTCTTGGGGAAAGGTGGCTTCTGCTGTCTCAATGAGCCCAAAGTGGATCAGCATTAAGCTGGCTGGTCTGACAACCTCATCTCATTGAAGAGTAGTTTCCAGGTTTGCAGCTTCTGTCAATGCTTGTTGGTAGTGCCTTCTGGCGTTGCTTCCACTGGCGGTGGGACTGACCAGGCAGGTTAGCTTTGCAGCCAACTGTGCTGCATCCTTGTGGAAAATCCCACGTTCTAGTTGCTGTTAGCATCCCCTTTGTTGCTGTCTGAGAAAGTGAAAGATTGTGTATTTCTATTAAAACATTTACAGTCAAAATCCTAATAATTTGTGTTTAAAGATTATTCACACTAAAGGTTTTCAAATGGGTAAATCTTTGCGTAGGCAAATATTGCATAGTACTTCAGCACACTAAACCATAAGCAGTGACAGAGCCTTTGGAAGCCCGACTTCTGTCAGTGAACCACACTGGCCAGGACCTGGCTGAGGTGCAAATCTTGATCATTGTCAGAAGCTAGGAAGTTATATAGAATCTAAGAAATGTCAGGACTTAGGAATATGACATTTTGGAAGCTGAATTATATTCAAGGGATAAGATAGAGCAAAACAACATGTTTCTAAATGAAATCATTTTATAGAAAATCAAATATTTAATTTTCATTTAAAAACATGAACAGGAGTGATTTTACACATATGTGGTTACTGTCTAAAGATTTCTACCTCAAGATATACCAGAAGCACCTGAGCATTGCCACTGCATTTGAACAAGTTCTCAGAAAAATTTTGAAACTTGGTGGCATCAGGTTTGTACTTAGGCAAGTTTTAGACGTCTGGATTGCTCATTCTAAGCACAGTAGATAAGAATGTCCTTATAAACGAGACGTAAACTTGTAAAAAAAAGTTGCTTTTTGGATGCGGGTAGGCCCTTGCTGGGCAGGCTTCCTGAGGGCGGCAGTGGAGCTCTGTCCTCATCTGTCCAAGCGTCTCAGGAGTTGTGCTCAACATGAAACAAAAGCTGTTTTGGACTAAGCCCCATAGAGCTAGTGTGAAAGCCCCAGACAACCACCCTTCGAACCTTTCTCAGACTGTAGTAGAGACATTCAAACTGGCAGTGCTGCTTGAGACAGCTCGAGGTCCTTGGATAGCTATTTGGGGTTGAATGGGCTCATTTTCAGACAAAATGAGCAGAGAAGGAAAGCTCCAGAGGTTAGCATCACATTCTTTCAGTGCTGCTCCCTGAGAAGTCCGTGTGCAGGGGTGTGATGTTGTGGTCATATGCAGCATACTCGGAGGTGCCGGTGCTGGCCAGCTTGAGCTGCTGGGCAGCGTGGGTGAGCTGGAATGCTGCATCTGGGTGGGCTGTGTCAGGCAGCAGGGTGCACTCCCTCTCCAACATGTCGGCCACTCCTTTGAGCAGGTCCAGGAAACCAAAGGCTAAGGCAGCTTTTCGTAACCTATTCAGTTCCTGAAACAGATGGACAGTTTTCTTCATACAATTTTCCAAGCACTCTGCTTTAAAGTCAGTTCTTTTTGACCTCAACTTAGGAAGCGTTTCTTTAAATAAGAACCAAGGACAGCAGTGTGAGGCGTAACTGGCAAGTGGTGTCTGCAGTATGCTCAGCAGTAGGTTAGCCAGCAAGCTGATCACCATTAATGTGCACTTCCGCCAAACCCAGAAAGCACCTTTCATACAGCATTCTTGCCAGCTAGTTTCTGTCTCCTAATCAGGCATGGGAAAGGCTTGCTCCAAGTCTTGGCCTTGTAGCCTGGTGCGTCTCTAATGTAGATTTGGAGTGTGAGTGACAGTGAACACATTTGGGGACAGACCAGAGAAATACAAAAGCACCCCGTTAGCCACTAGGGCATGTTGCGGGCAAGCTGAGGAGCCGCTCTGGTCTCAGGCCTTGTTTTCCCAGGGAGGAGACTCCTATCCTCATCTACTTGAAGACATGAAGCAGCCAGTTGCAGGGGCCCTTTCAGTTTCTCAGGCATGGTGCTGGTTATACTTTTTATTAGGGAAGATGAACGATCACCTCAATACCAAGTCTTCCTTCTTGAACTGAACACAAGTAGGAGAGACAGACTGCAGCTGCGCAGAGGACAAGAGCCTGTATGGGTCACAGCTCTGGGGGGTCTGGCTGGCTGAAAAGCTTTCTTATTGAACTCTGATTAAAACTGTATTTTGTCCAATGTCCCCAGATTGTTAGTAACTAGGTTTGAAGGCAGTAAGATGATGCTCAGACAAGGTAGGTGTGATATCCGAGAGCTGCTCACCTGAGGTTACAGGAGCGCCTCACCGTAATCACGCGGTGCACACTCACACTTCTACCCCACACTCTAACTACCATGATTTCTCTACTACAGTTCAGACAGTCTCACCTTATAGAATGTCTGTGTTTTTTCAGGGAGCTTCCTCGCATTTCTTAAGATCTTCTGTACATCTGTCTATGAGGCATAAAAAGAATTCAACATTAGAATTTTGTGACTTTAAAGAAAAAAAAAACCAACCCAGTAGCTTAAAAGAACAGACTGTCAACATGAAGAATCCTTCTAAGATGATATTAGTATTCTGCTCAACAATGGCAAAAACACCTTCCTCCTTTAAAAGGCTTGATGGTATTAAATCAATCATCTCATAGAAATAGACCCAGTGCACCCACAAATCTATGGATAGACCATTGATGGGGAAAGAATAACTGTTGTTGAAAACTGAATGAGTGCAAAAAAAAAGTTGGACCTTTAGATCACAGGACATTACAAAAAAAGATCAGCTCAAAATGGGGCTGGAGACATGGTTCAGTGGTTAAGCACACAGGAGTTTCCTGTCTGGAACTAGGTGGTGCCAATGACCACCTTACAGTATACACTGCTGAACCTGTACACCTTTAAATGGATGAAATGGTAAATTTAATGTGTACGTTACTAGAATAAGAAAACAAAAATCCAGGGCTAAAATAGTGATTCAGTCAAAGTAGCTCTGAGCCTCCTGGCCAGAGTTCTGGGGTCAGGGATAGACAAGGAAGGAACAGAGACGAGGCTACAGCCCCCTTAGTCAAGGCAGGATTGCTTCAGCCTCTAGGGAAAGGTCTCAAGGAGCCAACACAGTCAACAGAAGCACTTCGTCAGCTGGAATGCCTCTTCTCAGTGCACTGAGCTTAAAGAAACCTTTTTTTTTTTTCTTTTTTCAAGACAGGGTTTTTCTGTGTAGCTCTGGAGCCTGTCCTGGAACTAGCTCTTGTAGACCAGGCTGGCCTCGAACTCACAGAGATCTGCCTGCCTCTGCCTCCCAAGTGCTGGGATTAAAGGTGTGTGCCACCACTGCCCGGCTAAGGTGCCCAAAGGAAAAGGGGGTTTCCCAAGTGGCTGTTACAATAGAAATAAGTGACTGCGTCAGTGGAAGGAGAACGGTCCTTGGGTGCCTTGCCTGGATGCGCCATCCTTAGGTAACAATTACAACTCCCTATGGAACTGAGTTGCGAATTATAATGTTGTGTGGCTGGAGCCCCTTGGAGGGCAGCACCATTAAGGGAACCGAGGAACCCTGGCTTTTCTCTGGTCTCTGTTTTGCCTCTTGGTTACAAGATAAGCAATTTTGCTCCTCTATCAGTTTCTGCCATGATGGTATCACAGGGTCAAAGCTCTGCAGGCTCCCAAACCCATAAGTCCAAACAAACCTTTTCTGTTTATAAACTGAACACACACACTCTGGCTTGGATTTTACTGTAGGGATAGAAGAAATAACCAAATTTAGGCCTTTTTGAACACTGTGGGGAACTTACTCTTGAGAAGCTCTACCCACACTTGGGCCTATCTGACATTTTGTAACTCTTTAGAGAAGTCCACACTAACAGTATGCTCTTAGGCCTGTCTTTCCTCTATGCACAGTCCTTTCTTGTAACCCTCAGGCCTATACTAAAATTATTAAACCTTAACTCTGCTTCATTAAAAACTAACATAACGGCCAGGTGTGGTAGTGAAGGCCTTTAATCACAACACTCAGGAGGCAGAGACTGGGGAGATCTTTATGAGTTTGAGGCCAGCCTGGTCTACCTACATCGCCAGTTCAGGACAGCTAAGGCTACAGTAGAGTGAGACCCTGTTTTACCCTGCACCCCAAGAAAAAAAATCCTACAACTTAGCACGTGAAGACTTTTAAACTCAAGTCCAATGTTGGCCCATGAGGCCCCACCCCTAACCAAAGATCTACAGCAGCTGATCATCATTTGGTGAGGGAGCCTCAGTTTTCTTAAGGACATGGCCCCTGGTAGGTTACTCATGCTTTGGTGCATGGCTCTACACCCATGTGTGATGTGGGCAGCACTAATTGGATTTGCTAGGTTACTTTTTTAAAAATTAAAAAAAATATATATGAATTTAGAAAGAGGGTATGTTGGGGAGGACCTGGGAGAAGTTAGAAGGGAAAGGGGTGGATGTGATCAAATACATTGTACTGATGTGCAAAATTCCCAAGAAATATTTCTAAAAATCCAGTGCTGAGAAACTAGGTGTGATGGCTTATGTCTGTAATCCCAGCACTTAGCAAGTGGATGCAGGAGGATGAGGCATTCAAGGCCAGCCTGGACTGTATGAGACTGCCTCAAAAATACAAAATAAATAAAATCCAATGCTGGAAAAATACACTTCTCTGGAAATGGTGCCATGTGTCCTGTTATTAGACAAGAAAAACTATACAACCCATTTGTTGTTTTTTTGGCCATGATAGCAGGAAGTCCAGAACCAAAGTTCTCAAATATAATTACAATGTTTGTTAATGCTCTAAACTTTGTAAAAAATGATTTTGTTATCTATGTGTCTCACTGTAGGCCATCTCATATCCTTTTGGGAAATAAGGACAGGCATTAGAAGTAAATGAATTACGTAGCATCAAAGGAGAGAAAAATCAAATGCTTTCACTGCCCCCAGCGGAAAGCAATGTGAACACTGTCATTACCTGCAGGCCGCTGGGTTTGATCCAGACAGTCACATTCTGGGCGTAACTGCGTTTGTTTTTGGGCTGCAGGGGGAATGGACTCTTGTTGTCGTCCTCCCCATAAGGGTTTTCTTTAGCATCTAAAAGAAAAAGACAATTTTGAAAATGACACTGGAGAACACAATTACATTTCCAATTAGGCAATTAGCTTTTTGAATCACCCATCATTATTCAAGAAACTGCATTAACTCCAGTCACATTGGAGAACCTGTTCTCAACAGGCAGGTCACTGAATAGGAGAGCTAACAATCAGAGGGGACCTAGCTAAATGAAAACCAGCTTAATGTCCTTAAAGAAATCAGCTTCATATTAGCTTTATACATAAAGGTCAAAGGGGCAAAACAAGAACACACACTGGGAGAACATAATTTAAAGCTACACACACACAGTTTTATAGTTTGGCCCGGAACACTTCACCCAAACTTTCCATGGTTCGAGAAACATATACACCTGCGCTGACATCACAGCCACCAGTCACTCACTGAACACTTGACCTAGACCTCAATTTTATAAGTTCCTTAATTTTAAATTTAGATAGTCTATGTGGTTAGTAGCTATGGAGTCACAATATATAGTCGAGGCAGATAAAAAAGCTGGAGTTGGCTGGGCGGTGGTGGGGCAAGCCTTTAATCCCAGCACTCGGGAGGCAGAGGCAGGCGGATCTCTGTGAGTTAGAGGCCAACCTGGTCTACAAGAGCTAGTTCCAGGACAGGCTCCAAAACTACCGAGAAACCCTGTCTCAAAAACAAACAAACAAAAAAGCTGGAGTTGTATTGTAAGACCTTGTTTCAAAACTAACACACACACACACACAGAAATTCTGACAGTCAAATTCCTTAAAGCTACTGCAGTTTTGTAGTATGCAGATCAATGCTTCCTGAGTCAATGGAACCACTACACATTTATAGAACACACACCTAGAGGTGTCCTTTGCCTTTTGTTACCATGGCAGGAGATCTTTCCTACCAGTTCTGGAAGCTGAAGTCCTTTGCCCAAATACTCATGTTGAAAATTGGAATTAGACCAATTTGTCAAACTGAGCCCACCCCCCGCCCCCCAAGGTTTCTCTGTGTAGTCCTGGCTGTCCTGGAATTTGCTCTATAGACCAGGCTGGCCTCAAATTCAAATATCTGTCTCCACCCCTGCTCCCCCTACCCCACTCCTGCCCCAGTGCTAGAATTAAAAGTATGGGTCACCATGCCTAGCTGAGCCGCAATTTTTTTTGTTTGTTTTTTAATTCTCAAATATTATATCCCAACCACAGTTTCCCCTCCCTTCTCTCCTCCCAGTCCCACCTCCCCCATCTTCCTGGATCCACTCCTCCTCTGTTTCCCTTCAGAGAAGGGCAGGCCTCCTGAGGATATCAATCAACATGGAATATCAAGTTGCGATAAGACTAGGTACCTCCTCACAATTAAATGAGGCAACCCAGTAGGAAAAAAGGATCCTAAAAGCAGGCAAAAGAGTCAAGAGACAGCCTTTGCTCCCACTGTGAGGCCCAAATTCTTTATTCCTGATTTGGTCATTAATCAGAAACCCCTGCTAACAATAGCACTCAGGAGACAAAACAGGGCTGCTGTGAACTGAAGCCAGTCTGGGCTGAGTGGACTCAACCTCACAACTGACCAGTCAACTAAGCAACACCTTAATATTGGACCAGAGTACCTCTATCAGCACACAACCCTCTTCTCCACTAAAAGCACTGCTCCAACTTTTTAGATGTATTTCCATTAGTACTTACCAATATAGAAACCCCTTTAAGCCAGGCCAAGGTCTCCCTAGTCCTCTCCCACACAGCATCCTTATTTCCGACTTCCTTGTCCCCATTTGATCATTGCCTGCCTTGCCCAGAATGCTCTCCTGCCCCCATTCATTCATTTATTCATCACCTACAGCAAGATCTCTGTATATAACACATACTGTGCTAGGAATTGTGCCTAGAGAAGATATTTATTTTTTGCTTTAGGGAATACAAAGAATAATTATTTAAAACAAAAGAAGAATTATTAAATTCTAATTAGGTGTCTCTCCACAGTGTCACCCAGAAAAGGAATAGCGATAGCTATTAAAAACAAGTAAGGCTCAAAATGGTGGGCATACCCAAGGTTTCACAGTGATTCAGGATACTGGTTTCCCATCATTCAATATTGCTGTTCCCTACCTACTCCATTTAACCTGTTTATATTCCAGGACCAGATGCTAATCTACTCACCCATGACTGGCTCAAGTTTTTCTGACAGTGATTTCTTTGCATCCAGTTATTCTACAGCATTCAGGGTCAGTACCAAATATGCCAACATCTAGCCACAGCCTCTGAACTTTGTTTGGAACTTATATATGGTACTTTCATTTGCAGAAACTTTCATTAACAGAAAATACTGCACTTATGAAAAAGAACAAGAAGATATGATAATAGAAATAAAAACAAAAAACCCATAGGTGCATGGTAAAGTTGAAGATAAAGAACAAATCACAACAAAACAAAACAAATGGGAAAATGAAAGAGGTACATACAAACACTGCCCCAGAAGAAGAGCAGAGAGGGAGGAAAGTCAGAACTCACATGCTCAGCACGGGTTCAAGCTAATGAATGTAGAAAGCAATAGCTACAGCTCTCCTCTGAAAACTCAGAATAACAGAGGTACAAAGGCACTGGCAGGCCAAACTGCCAATCAAGTGTAAAAGAAGAAATGAGATGTTCCCAAATGTGCAAGATTTCAAAATAGACATGTTACTCACACCCTTTCCTCAGCCAGTCATGAAACAGAAAAGTCATGTATGTCCCAGCAACATACATACCTACCCCATTTAAAAATGGAAAATAAATTAAAACTTAGCTATGTACTTGTGTTGCTTAGGAAGGTAGGTAAAAATATCAAAAGAAACAAATGACTGTCTCTGGGGCAGAACTAGGAAGGATTGATATAAACAATGTATTTGTATGTTCTGCTCTGAAAAACAACCAAAACAGCACTTGCAATCATATGCCCACTGTGTATCATACACCTTACACATATTTTCTGTTGAGGTTTGGATGAGAAATGTCATCTGGGGAACCTTTTGGACAGGGCAAAACCAAGAAAGATTGGGCTCTATGGGAAAGAGACGAGGGTTACAGGCCAACTCTACCAGTTTCAACTCTTCCTGATCCATGGAAATGAACAAGGTTTGCCTTAAGTCCCCAGGGCCACAGGCAGAAGAACTCCAGCTGTCTCCCTTTCTTCATCAGCATGGAGGGCATCCTCTAAAACCTGCCTTCTGCTGCTTGTCTGGTACTCTACCCCTGAGATGAGAGCTACTACACTGCCTCAGCAGCCCTCAGCACAGGCTTTCTTACTGCCATCTGTAACCATGCCAGTCCCAATCTGAAATTAAACAAAATGGTCAATTCTCCTCAGCACAGGCTTTCTTACTGCCATCTGTAACCATGCCAGTCCCAATCTGAAATTAAACAAAATGGTCAATTCTGCAGTTTCTTGCTGTTGCTAAAAGTCTTTTCTCTGGGGAGCTGTAAACAATGCCTCTTCCTGTCCTGAAGCTCCACATAACAAACCAAGGCACAATTCCTCCTAAATTCACCCTGGGTAACTAATAAGTTTACTGATCTTACTTATAGAGCATAGGGAAAAGGTTACTTACAGGAATGTAGGTGTTCCCCTGCCCCAAAAGGCCAGACAGTGTCTTTACCAGCATGTATGTTGGCTTTCTCACAGCTGCACTGATGGCTCCCTTCTTTAGTCCTTTCCTGCTTATATACTCTAGCCTGTCCCAGGAGGTCACATGCAATTAGGGCAGAATTGCACAAACGTGGTGTGTATGTATGTATGTATGTATGGGGGGCAGGTACTCTGATGAGAGTCCCGTGACTTTCCTGCCCCCTTTACGAGGGAACAACAGTCATCAAACCCAGCTGGGATGATCTTTTACAAGTGGACACAGCTGAACCTATGAAGAAGCAGTTTGATGGGAGGACAGCCCTGTACACCATTAGTACAGTGCTTGACAAACTGAAGTTCAATAAATGCTAGGTTTCATAGTCCCACTGAAGAGAAGAAACACCATACCAATACAAAAACAGGCAAAACAAAACAGTCAGTTTGGTGTATACTGCCTGAATGTAAATCTCTACATGTGTGGCCCAGAAAATAGAATTTCTAAAGTTTATTTTCATACATTAAAAGCTCAAAGGGGCTGGAGAGATGGCTCAGTGATTAAGAGTACTGACTGTTCTTCCAGAGGTCCTGAGTTCAATTTCCAGCAACCATATGGTGGCTCAGGGCCATCTTTAATGAGATCTGGTAACCTGGCATGCAGGCATACATGGAAGGAATGTTGTATATATAATAAATAAATCATAGCCAGGCAGTGGTGGTGTAAGCTTTTAATCCCAGCACTCGGGAGGCAGAGGCAGGCAGATCTCAGTGAGTTCAAGGCCAGCCTGGTCTACAAGAGCTAGTTCCAGAACAGGCCCCGAGAAACCCTGTCTCAAAACAAAACAAAACAAAAAACAACTCAAATTTGTGAGCTACCCCTTAAGTAACCCCATTCTCTCTCACCCTGTGGTCCAGAGTGATCTGCTATAATTGTTGCTTTCCTCCCTTGACTCCTGCAGGGACTGCCTCTGGGCACTTCCCTGGTGTTTCACAGGCTCAAATAGGATGAATAAATGTTTACCCCAAGTCTATTCTCTTGTTCACTTTCAATTCATAGACTGTTGTGGTGGTTTCAGTGAGAATGGCCCCAAAGGCTCATATATTTGAATGCTAGGTCCCTAGTTAGTGGAGCTGTTTGGGAAGGATTAGGAGGTGTGGCCTTGTTGGCCACACCCAGATATAGAAGGTACCGAGGATTGAACCCAGAGCTTCATGCATTGCAAGGCAAGTATTCTACCAGCACCAGCCCTGGAGTGCAAATTTTATTTGTATCTCTTACCTGGATTAGGGACACCAGCATCTGAACACATCTCCTAACTGCTATCCTGAGTGCTGTCCTAATCCAGGAGCTGATCATCCTGCTCAGCTGTGCTGCCCATTATCTGCAGAAGTCATTTCAGAGCAGGCCTAGTCAGCTCTAACCACAGCCAATGTCTAACCTACCTTCTGCCTCTCCTGATGTGCTCAGAGTGCTACAGTTTCTTCCCTTCCTGTAGAAGGGTATTCAACAGTCCTTTCTTTTTTTTATTATTTTAATCAATAGCCCTTTCTTTATCAGTTCAACAAACTATTCTTCAAAACTCAGCCAGTATGCTTCTGCCCTGTGAAGATCTCCTGAGTCACAGACAGCTGATCTGATCACCCTGTCCTGGCTGACCTGACTTGCTCTCTGTTGAGTCCAATTCCCACTAGAGTCTGGAAACTCCAGCTACCTTCTATCTACCTGGCACAGAACGGATAGATGTTTCTGAACTGGAAATGGAATCAACAGGGTCAAAGGTAAGTACAGCAAAGTGAGAAGGAGGAACAGTGTAAGTAGTGGGAGGAGGAGACAATGGTCTCTGCATATGCTGAGCTTGATGCTGAAAGTGCAGCTGAGAACTGGAAACATGACATACAGACGTGAGGGACACCAGCTGAGACTCAAGGAGAAGATCTGGGAGTCTGAACCCACTATAGCTGAAGAAAGAAGCCAGAAAGAGCACAAACAACAGGAGAAAACAAAGATCATTTTGGAAATGGAGGCAACAGGAAGACAAGGAGACATGAAATAGGAAAGCCAGACAAAAACCAGTAGCAACACCTCTCAAGTCAAGAGAAAAGCATTTCCAGGAGGAAGAGGACTCTGTGACCTAAGAATGACTGACTGTACAAAAGAAAAACATGGAGTTTTCCATTCAGAGCAGCTAACAACACTACTGCCAATATAAATATTGTCAATTAAAAAATATATATAATAGTCAATATAAATATAAACAAAGATACTTATTTTAGTTAATATAAACTTTTTTTTTTTTCCTTGAGCTGAGAAAGTTAGATGCAAGCCTCAAACACTCTGAGGTTCTCTATGTACGTACCCAGCATCAGAGTGGTCAGGCATGCTCCAACAACACCCAAAGACATTCAGAACAGCTTAGAGACAACCAAGTCAAGTAAGTAGACTCTGGTCTGGGTTATACCTGAAATGGGACCCAACTGTGCCATTTTCCCCAGCCATGGGAGAGGTTCTGGGCCAGGCTCAAAGAGAGACATCATGAGGTTTGACTTCTTCTTGCTATCAGCTTGCGAGTAGAGCATCCCATGCCATTCAGGACTAGAAGGAGAGAAGATGGAAGAGCAGACCATCAAGCCTCGGATTGTCAGGTTAAGAAGTTGAGGTTTTGCTTTTTTTTTTTTTGAGACAGAGTTTCTCTGTAGCTTTGGAGCCTGTCCTGGAACTAGCTCTTGTAGCCCAGGCTGGCCTTGAACTCACAGAAATACACCTGCCTCTGCCTCCCAAGTGCTGGGATTAAAGACATGTGCCACCCGGCCCAAAGCCAAATCTTAAACTCCCAAAATGCACATAGTATTTCCAAATCTCTGAGACACATATTAGTTAGACAAAATTGTGTGTGTACAGTGAAAGCAGTTTAGAAAAGACAAACCCTGCAAAGCACAGGAAGCAGCAGTCCAAGCACAGAGGAGTAAGAGCTGAGGCCCCTGACGTCACAGCAGTGACGACACTACAGCAAGGTCTTCCAGCAGTCAGGAAACAGTCTAGGCCCCAGCTTCTGAAAGGGCCTTAGGTGACCCTCATATCATAAGCCAACAGTAGCCTGGGTGCCAAGAAATAGATCAGGTAACTATTAAGGGCACTTGTTGCACTTGCAGAGGACCAGGGTTTGGTTCTGAGCAACCATATTTGGCAGCTCATGACCCCCTGTAACTCCAGTTCCAGTTTCTGGGCCTCCACGCACCTGTACTCGACTACACACACACACACACACACACACACACACACACACACACACGCACACAATTAAAAATCTAAGAAAGAAAATAACTATTCTTTTTGGAATTTTCACTTAAGCAGAGATGGAGACATGCCTCCTGTGGTTAATCTTAACCTTTTGATCTTTTGTATCTGTCAATCATGGCCAGAGGGCTACCCCCTCTTTCCAACAACAGGTGACACAAGAAGGGAAGCAGAAGGCTATGCAGATTTCATAACTGCAGGGAGGATGAAAGCTAGTTCTCTCCTCACAGGGCAGGAAATCAACAAGGTGGTTGCATGAGTTCTGGTTGCATGTAAGTTAAGAACTCTGGCTCTTCAGTTTTTTATCTTTGTGATCTTGGGTGATTTCCTCTGTGTCTCTAAGCTTCAGTGTTGTTCTCACCTCGTGCAGTGCTGGGATGATGTTAATTAACATACATGACATACTCAGGAGGAATACCTGGCACATGGCAAATGCTCAATGTAAGCAGCATCTTTCTCCCCACTTAGTTCTATTTTCCCATTTTATAAATGAGGAACCTGAGTGCTAAGCTATTAAAGTCACAGAGTCCTATAACCAAAACCCAGGCAAGTCAAACAGGATTTAAAAAAAGGAAAAAGTATGGTTGGTATAGCTGCAATTCCAGCACTTTGGAGACTGAGGCAGGTGGATCATGGGTGTGAGACTAGCTTTGGGTCTCTCAAAAAATACAGTAAATATATGAACAAAAAAATTAAGAGGAACACAGAGAAAGCATAGACCATAAAATCAACGTAATCACAAAGGTGGTTTCACACTTTTGGGGATGATAAAGACGCATAAGATAACGGAGGTAGGAAAGGAAAGGGAAAGGGAAGTGGGCAGGGAAAGGAAAAGGTGACCAAGATCATCCATTTCTTTCATCAATGTCTGTGAAACATTTTACCTTATCGTTCCCTTTGTGTCAACCAAATACAAATGAAATCTTCTTACCCTAGTTGTACAATTGCCACCATTCCTTCCACTTTCAGGCTACCATGGAGCAGCACACAGAAGTTGGGTATTTTGCCAGCGATCTGATTGGCTGAATTTTCATCTTCATTGTCATCAGTGATGCCAGTACCCACTTCATCACCTTCTGTAAAACAGATGAGCAAGAGTTAGCTACAAAACTAAACTCTTGACTGTTTCTTGCCTTGAAGGGAAAAATACATGGAGCTGTAAAGAAATATTACAACAAGTTAGAAAAACACAGTTTTCTGGTAAATCACCATTTAAAGACTTTTCAAATAATGTATTAATCCTATGTATACGAAACATACAGAACAGGCAACCCATAGAGAAAAGGAATATTAGGATCCATGGTTAATAGGGTCTTCTTGGTGGATGATGAGAAGGTTCAGAAATGGAAGGTGATGATGACTATACAAATGCAGTAAATATACATTGAAAAGACACCACGTGGTCCGGGTGTGGTGGTGCACACCTCTAATCCCAGCACTTGGGAGGCAGACAGGCAAATCTTGGTAAATTTGGAGCCAGCATGGTATAAAAAGGACAGTCAGGGTTGTCTCATAGAGAAACCCTGTCTTGAAAAACAAATAAGGTACCACTTAACATTCTCTTTTAAAAAAACGCACACGTACACGCCCATGTATGCAGATACATGTACATATGAGCACATATGTGTGGAGGCCAGAGGACAATCTCAAGTGTTATTTTCAGAAATTTATCCACTCTGAGCAGGTTTTTAACTGGCTTGGAGCTCACCAATGAGGCTACAAAAGCTGGCCAGTGAGCTTCAGAGTTCCTCCTGTCTCTTGTCTCCGAAGTCTTGGGATTACAAGCTTTTGTCATCCTATCTAGATTTTTCTCTTCAAAATGTTTGTTTGTTTGTTATCGAGACTGACCTACCCCAGAGTAGGCGGTCTACAAGTGTGTACCCACTCAGCTTACATAAGTGACCGAACTCAGGTCTTCATGTCTGCAAGGCAAGTTCTTTAACAACTACACTACTTCTTAGCCCATTTAAAAAACAAATAAACCTTTCTCTTTTTTTGGGTGCTGGGTATCAAATTTAGGGCTTTAGATGTGATTGACATGTGCTTTACTACTGAGTTCATTTCTTCATTCCAATTATACACACTTTAAATGGAGGACACCTATGGCTTGTGAGTGACAGTCCAGGGAACTCTATAAAAGAACGGTTTTGTGCCATTCCTTTGGGAATTCAGTGAGATGCCATCTAGAGGCTTGAGGCATCAACTAAACAGAATCAGATAAAGAAGTGTTAAGTGTGGCCTATGCTGACAGTCCTCAAACACCAGACACAAGTACACAGGGGTTCCTCTATGAGCTTCTTGACTGAACTTCCCGACTCCAGGTTCTCTCCCATGCTGCTGTAGGTGAGTCTTCCTACAGTTAACTTTCCTCTAGGAATAGCCATCTGCTCTCTTGTTTGGACTCTTCACTGCAATAGGCGGAATCTTCCAGTAGAGACTGGCTATTCAATGCTCCTAAAAATACTGCCCTGTTCTGCCTTCCCCTATTTATCCTTGTTTGTTCCCTGCTTCCAAAACTTTGCTTGTTTTCTGTCTTAGTAATTATTTAGGCATACCTGACCATTAGGGCAATCTGGACATTCTCTGTGAACATAAGTTCATAAACACAACGATCCCAATAAGCTGCTATGGGTGAGTATCAAGATTCTGCTTGTGAACGGGGCGTGGGGGCTTGTGCCTGTATGCCAGCACTCAGGAGGCTCAGGCAGACACGGTGTTCTGAGTCTGAGGTACAGAGTGAGACCTTAGCTCAAAAAACAAACAAAAGAACATCAAATGATTCTTGTTGTCAATGTGGCCGAGATAATGAGGCAGTAACAGAACATGATTCAGTAGCTGGAAGTAAGACTTGCTACATACGTTTCTTGAAGAGAGCTGGTAAAGATGGTCAGTTTTGAATACAGAAAATGAACATGGCAAAAAGCTAGAGGTTGGCATATTTCAGAGGGATGCTGAATTTGGGGACATGACTTTATAGTTCTTAGCGAGGCATGATCTGCAATGAAGCCTCACAATGTGGTCACAAGCATTCAATGACATTTGGTATCGTGTTTCCGACATGCTTGGCGGCAGCAGAACAAAGCAGGTCTGTCCTTTCCCCTTCTCTCTCAGTTCCTATTAGGAAAGCTTTGGATGGGGACCCTAGAGCTGTCACCTCTCCATGAGTGCACAACCCAGTGCACACTGTAACACCACAAGTTCCCACAGGATTCTTAGAAGGCAGCATCTTATCTATTCCGGGATCCGAGGCAATACTCAGTTTCTAAAATCCAATTTATTTTAATTGGAATCCTTTACAGTGGGCCAGCTTACCATCTAACACTAAAGAACTGACTTTAGAGAACATGATGTTTCGTGTGAACAAAAGGTACGAGACGAGAACTCACCTTTGTTAAGTGCTATGGGCAAGACCAAATGCCTGGACAAAACTGGGGGGCTGGAAATATCAGCTATGTCAATAAAGCCCACTATTTCCAAGTCTGTAAGGAGGAATAAACACAGAATTATTCACACTAGAAAACTACATTGTTGTCGATGTGTGAGATTCTATAAACACTGTCTTACGGCAAAGATTTCAAATATGAGACTTGGGAAAATTGTTAAACTTTTCTCAGGATCATGAATAATTTCCATTTTAAGTAGATCAAACAATAATGACTCTTTTATTTAATGAATTCAAGTTTTTAAAATAAAACTAGGTAAACTTTATTTTTATGAAGCTAGAGCGTTAACCAAAGCAAAAGTTTAAAGGTCAAATTCCTCTGTATAATCAAGGGCAGTGAAAAGGGGGTAAAAAATGAAGCGCCTACAACACTCTTATTCAGCCTTTGGAAAGTCAAGCCATCACTTTACAACACTTCTTTGGGGTGGGGAGACAGGTCTCACAGTTAAGAGTGCTTGAGCATGAAGACTTCAGCTAGAATCCCCAGCACCTCCACAAAACCAAAAACCAGGGCATAAAAGGTGCCTGTAACTCAGGATGGAGGAAGGCTGACAAGAGGAAGCCTGGTAGACTGCTGGCAGTCAGCAGAGTCAACGAAATGGGAGCTTCTAGTTTAGTGAGACCTGTCTCAAGGTGATAAGGCAGGGGATGGTAGAGAAGACTCCAATATCTTCCTCTGGCCTCTCTATACACCTGCATGGGCCCTGCACCTGCATACTTATGTGTATATAGTACAGCCACACTCAAAAAGAACATTTCCTTGAGAAGGAAATACATTCTATACACAATCAATATGATAATCATTCATTCCCTTTATAGCAGCTATACTACAGTCCCAAATTATTTCCTGAAGACCTAAAATAAATAAAAGTTCATAGGTAGGTATGGTGGTACACAACTTTAATCCTAGTACCCAGGAGACAGAGATTGGTGGATCTCTGTGAGTTCAAGGCTGGCCTGGTTTACATGTTGAGTTCCAGGCCAGTCAGAACTTATCTAGTGAGACCGTCTCAAAACTAAAATAAAAAATTAAAGTTAAACAGAATTTTTTGTTTTGGTTTGCTTTTTTGAAACAGGGTTTCATTGTTTAGCCCTGCGCGCCCTGGAATTCACTCTGTAGACCAGGCTGGCCTCAAACTCAGAGATCCACCTGTCTCTGCCACCCAGTGCTGGGATTCAAGATGTGTACCACCACCATTGGCTAAACCGGACTTTTAATAAAATGTTTGGCTATATAAGTAATTAACACAAAATTATGAAAACACTAAAAATTATAAAGAAAATAAAACTATTCTTCATAGAAGGAAACCTCTAACAGTATTTATTGAGTTGTTCTTAAATTTTTCTTCTAAGTGTATCAACAGCACAGCCATATTAGCAAAATAATTTAAAATATCAGAACCATGCCAAGTGACCACTCTTCTAGTGCACCAGGGTATTTGCTTCCCTGGAGACCTGCTGTCAGCACCTCCCAAGCTAAGCACCTAATGCTGACAGCTTTCAACTGAGTAGAAAAGGGCTTACAACAAACACTTTAGTTATTTAGGTAGGAATTACACAAGTATCTTAAGACTAAAAGTTTATATTGGAAAGAAAAGAAACATTCAAATAAAGGGCAGGAAGGAAGTATAATTTAATTGGTTTGAAGGCAACAAAACATTAGGTGTGGTTAATATTACAATTAGACAACTGTTACAATTAGACAATCAAAGGCCAAAGCAAAAAGTCTGCTCAAAGGCTTTCATTCAACAAACATTTATTTATTACACACTTTTTAATCATTTATTGACTGGGCAATTATCTGTTGAGCATCTAGTAAGTGTCAGACTATAGACCGGTTATCAACAAGACGGAGAGTGATGATACCCATCCCTAAGAGCTTTGGCACACACTCATCACCCAGGGAGTCCTTTGGCTAATGGGAGACAATTCTCTTTCCTGCCTGCCATTTTTCACAATTCAAGGTTGTTAAATGCAGCTAGGCATGGCGTCCGCAAATATGTACTACATTAAAGCAGTAGGACGCAAAGGCATTTTGTTTTAGTTGTAACACAAGAAGCAGAGCTGGAATGGTTCAGTCTATCAGAACCAAGAGCTCAGTGACTGACTGCTTCATTCCCTACACCGAGTCAGTAGGGACTGGAAGAAGCAACTTCCAAGGTCACAGCAAAAGTCAGAGACAAGTCTAGAAGAAGACAACTCTTCATATACCACCTTAGTTATGATGTTAATTAATCTCAGTATCTTTACTAAGAATCATCTCAGCTGGACAGTGGTGGCGCACACCTTTAATCCCAGCACTCAGGAGGCAGAGGCAGGTGGATCTCTGTGAGTTCGAGGCCAGCCTGGTCTACAAGAGCTAGTTCCAGGACAGGCTCCAAAGCTACAGAGAAACCCTGTCTCAAACCGCCCCCCCCTCAAACAGATAAACAAACCAAACACACACACACAAAATCATCTCAAGTGACTAAAACAGCTCAGCTAGGAGAACACTAGTTTGAAGATACATTTGAAGTCAACCTGGCCATTATTTCTAACCCAGTAATATGTAGTTACAGTGACCAGAGATTGGAGATTAACTCAAGATCTCACCATGAAAGACAATAACCTGCCACCTCTTAGGTAAGATAAAGATAACAGGACATAAATAATAGAAAGGTAATAGAAAAATTAGAAAAATTAAAAAAAATAAATTTTTAAAAAAATTATATAAATAAAATTAAAAAAAGAAGGATAATAAAAAGATAATAGAAGGAAGTTTCAAAAAAGTTACCTGTGTTAATGACTTTAGGGATAGGATCAATTTCTTCATCTATAACAAAAGGTTCTGGCCTGGGGAAAACTTGTACGTCAGCTGTTAGGTGGCCACACTTGAGAACCGCATGGAAAGGCGTGTATGCCAGATCTATCAGCTTTCTAGAATGTTACAGGAACAATGATATGACACATATACAAGAAATCCTTTAAGATTCAAACTCTGTTATTTCTTCCCATTGATTCTAAGACTAAACTTGAGTATTTGTGACACAGGATACAAGCTGACATTGTGATAAGATTTCAGTTCAGAGAAGACCTAAATACTTTAACCTTTGAAACAGCTGAGTCAATTATAAGTCAGTTCTGCAGGCATTTTAGATATAGTCACACCTAACTAAAAACAGAGTAAATTTTTAAACTACTACTTCTGATCACTTTATCTGAGAAACAGGTCCCTAAGGAAATCTAAATCACACAATCAGCAGTAATAAAACAGCTATCCTTTCTGGCTGTCACTTTATAATCTGGGTTAAATATAAAGGTGAAAAAGCTTTACACATATACTCACCCAAACATAGACTGGACATTTTTCAAACACAGGGGGCCATCAATAGTAAAAATTTGCCCTTCACCATTGTTTAAGTCTATAAGTCGTTCAAGGCATTCCAAGGAGTCAGTGCTCTGAAGCTGCAAAGCCAAAGCAATGACCCCTTTAGTGTGACACAAATTACCAATTACTCAGTACACCAAGCTAACACCATCATGACACCTGCAGGAAATGACTGAGACGATTTTAACAGAAATGACAAAGAAATAACTATGATTTGACTCAAAGCTACAAAAGAGTAAAGTAATAAAGACATGACACCAGTAGCGCCACTTCAGACAGAATCAGACATTCCAGGAAGCCTGGCTAGCCTTTCCTCAGGAAGGTGTTTCTAACATGGTTTGGTAATACCATCATCTACAGTTTGCCTTTCTCTGCTTTTGAGACAGGGGTTCACTATGTAGCCCTGGCTAGCCTAGAACCTGCTATGAATACTGGGCTGGCTTCAAACTGAGAGATCCATTTGCCTTTCATCTATATTTTACAACAGAAAAAAATTGAAGTGGAGAAAAGTTAAATACTTTTCTCAAATGGGAAAACTAGGAAGTCTAGCATTTAATAAAACATGTCTGATAATAACATTATTTTACCCCCCAAAATTAAAGCACACTCTTTCAGTATTTCTTCTGGGATGGATATAAGAATCCTGAATAAGAGACATTATTAACATCCCTCAAACAAAACAAAACAAAAAAATCCACCTGGCTCTTTCACAACCCACCAGCAAGACGAAAGACAACCCCAGCTATGTTTTCAGTTGGGTACCTCTGAATGTCAATGAGCATTTGAGATGCAGTCTTTTAAATTATGACCAGCCTCGGGTGAAATCAGTAAAGACAATGCTATGGTGCATATAATGCAGCATTGTCAATCAAATGTACCAACAAAGAGATCAAGTCTAAAATTTAATCAAACTAACAAGAGCTGAGGAAAGTCTTACCTCCTCCAAGTTGGCCATGCACATGACATACAACTTAGATGGGAAAGGGAAGGGGAGTGGGAATCTGTTGCTCTCGCTCCTTTGATTCTGAGTAGCTAGGGAATGTCGCAGTGACCCTCTGCCAATGCCAAGACAGCCATCAGTCACCAGAACAACCTGTTTGTAAACACAGGAGGCTTGTACATTAAATGCTATATTTATTATTCTCTACTCTTGCTAGAGAGAAGCAAGGGGAGGATCTGTGGGGTGACAGGAAGATCCTATGTTTCATACATATATAAAGTGTCTTTATTCTTTGAGAAGTCCAGATACATAAATGTATTTTGACCATATTCAGTTCCTCAATCTCCTTTTCCATTTCACCCCAGGCTACTCCCAAAACATGATCTCAATTTTACTTTTTTTCTCTTTTTTATATTTTTAAAAATCACCTGCTGAACACAATGAGTGTTACCTTTATTCATATGAGTGTGGGGCCACCCCTGGAGCAGAGCAACCTACAAGGGGCCACACCTTCAAGGAAAAATTACTTTCCTTCCTTTCGTAGTCATCAACTGCCAATATCTCCTCAGCTATGAATGGGGCTCGTGAGCCCTTCCTGATACACAAAGGAATTTTTACTAGCTTCATCTTGTCAGGTAACCACAACTGCTGTGAACTCAAGAGTGGGATGGCATGTCACCTCCAGAAAACAACATGTCACAGCACTCCTCCCTATCTTCCTGCTCTCACATTCTCTCTTCAGACTCTTCCCCAAGGTTTCCTGAACCTGGGGTGGGAGGGAGATAGGGAATATATCTTAATTAAAGTGGTGTTTTACATAGGTATATGCATTTGGAAGTCAATGAACCGTGTATTTAAAATGCATACTCTATTTCATTTAATTGTTATTTTTGTTTTGTTTTTAAAAGACAGGGCCTCACTTTTTAGCTCTGGCTGACTTAGAATTCACTATGTAGATCAGACTGGTCTTCAACTCAGAGATCTGCCTACCTCTGCCTTCTGTGTGTTGGGAATAAAGATGGGCACCACCACATTCAACTCTAGTTATTTTTTGAATCTACCTTTGAACATTTCAAGGAAAAAAGCAATCATAGCCAATTTTTACTTAATAGATAAGGAATCAGGGCTTAAGGCACTGGTCTAAAAAATGGTAAGACACAGTGATATGGGTTCCTCAAGGAAAGAGCCCTAAATTTGAATTGTGCTACTTCATTTTAAAGATGACAAATCCTATTCTTGGTCAACTGAAAAGACAACTACTTTTAAAATGCATCTGGTCCTGTCACCTGTGCTCATTACTAAGTGTAAAAATATCTGTTGGGCCATTTTGGCAGCAACAAGACTTTCAAAAAACACATGTTCAACTTGTAATTTGAAAAGGTCAATAAAATAGATCTAAAAATGGTATCTGAAAAGCCATTTTCTCTTTTCCCACTGCTTCAGGGTGATAGTGAAGCCCTAGTGAACTTCCTAAGCATTCCAAGGGAAGACTAATTTAGTTCTCTTTAGCCTAGTGGGTGGCTGCACCACATGAGATACCAATACTGGCACTGACTTCTACCATAATATACAGAATAGAAGTCCTCTGGATGGAGATCATCTTTTGGGAAGGTGGTCAATTGATTACGGGGCAATTTCTTCTTCCAGGAACCAACAATTTCTAAATAGTGTGACTTACTTCTTATACTAGCTTTTATAGATGCTGGTGTGTGTGTGTGTGTGTGTGTGTGTGTGTACATGCACACGCATGACGTGTGTATGTGGAGGTCAGAGGGCATCTTTATGGACTCAGCCCTTTCCTTTCATCTCATATGGTTCTGTGGATTGAACTCTGATGCCAGGCTTTCGAAGCGTGAGCACCTCACCCACTGAGCCATCCCACCAGCTGGAGACACTGTTTTATGACAGATTACATGTAATGCCAAAGTGAAACACTACTCAGATAATGAAGTTACAATCTGGCTGTTCAAAGTGTTGGCCAAAAAACTCCCCACATTTAAATAAATTTCATATTAACTGGTTGTAAAATCACCAGTAACCATCATTTCTCATATAGTACTTTGGATTTTATACATTTAGCAAGTCTAAATGGATTTAGGTGTTCTGACACAGTTCATCTCCAATTCAGGTTCTTCTTTCCCCCTTAAAAAACAAACAAACAAAACAAAATCTAAACAAAAGATGAAAAGGTGATATCTGCATGTTACAAAGGTCTAGCCCTTAAAATCAGTCCTGACCCCTCTCATCACAGAAGAGCAAATGAAACTGCTACCTGCTGACTACCAGTTCAGAAGATACTGACAAAAACTTCATTTATTCAGTTTATTATTAGAAAAATCAGGTATTCATTTGAATATTTCAGGCACGCACACGGTACAAAGACATATATACAGGCAAGGAAAATGATGCCTATAAAGTTATATACTGCTTTCCTGAAAAAAATTAATCAAAAGACATTTGCTGTCTTCTTAAAGATTTTATTTTTCTATGTGTATGTCCTACATGTATATACATGGGCCACAGGTGATGCCAGAGGAAGACAAAAGTGGGCACCTACCCATCAGCTCTCCCGGAGTGGAGTTACAGACAGTTGTGAGTTGCACTGTGGGTGCTGGAAGCCACACCGAGGTCCTCTACACAAACAGCAAGTGTTCCTAACTGTGCCATCTTGCCAGCCCCATTTGTTGTTTTCATTAACAAATATTTACTAAAGTGATTTGACTTAACTGTCTAAAGTAACACAGGGTCTTTATGAGCTCAAGAATTTAAACAGTGTGCTTTTCACTGTAGTAAAAAAGTTTTTTTTATTTTTTTCCAAAATTTGACTTGAGATATAATTTTCATGCAGCAAAACTGAGTAGTTTTAGTATACAGTTCTGATCAGCACATTTAATTATGTAAGCATCCTGACCATCTAGAGAATAGGTTTGTGCCATGCCCTACACCCTCTTCCATGTCTTTTCAATCAGCCTGGGCCTCCTATGTCTGTATGTCTTCTCAATTACCCTCTAGTCTTTCTTCACTGCCAAGCAACTTCAATCTTATAACTACTGTTGCTGGGGTTTTAAAATTTATTTATTTTATGTGTGTGTTTGCCTGTATGTGTATCTGTACATCATGTGTGTACCTGATACCCAAGAAAGACAGAAGGCGGCATCAGATACCCCAACACTGGCATTACAGACAGTTAGGAACTACCATGTCAGTGCTGGGAATCAAATCCGAGTCCTCTGTAAGAACAGTCAGTGCTCTTAATCACAGAGTCACACCTCCCCACTTTAAGTTTCTTTGTATAGGTGTTTGTGTGTATGTCTGTGCACCATATACATGCCTCATGCCCCTGGATACCCTAGGACTGGGGTCACAGAGAGTTATGAGCAGCCATATGGGAGCTGGGAATTGAACCCAGGTCCTCTGGAAGAGCAGTCAGTACTCTTAACTGCTGAGTCACCTCTTCAATCCCCCTTGTTGTTGTTTTTGTAAGACAGGGTCTCACTTCATAGCACAGGCTAGTCTTGAATAGGCAATCTCCCAGTCTTGTCTCCTGAGCACTAAAATTATAGGTGTATGATATGTGCCTGGTTTTACACATTTGCTGTGAATTAGAAAATAAAGTACTAGTTATGCCATTGATATTACTGGGGAAACTGACCCTCTAATAGAAAGTCCTACATCATATACTGGGGCAAACTGGCCCAGAGGCCATAGTCTAATCACTGCCTAGTTTTGTAGATACAGCAACACAGCCATGCTCATTCACTTCTTATGCTACGGCTCTATCATATACAACTACAGAGCTCAGCGAGCGGGACGGAAATCTGCAAAGCCCAAACACAAAAAAACTGTATAATTTTCCTGTTAGCAGTATTTGTTTTCTCCTTTTAAATAAGCCACTACTTCTCAAAGTATCTGTTTACACCAGACATCTAATTAATTCTCTTTCCTGTTGCTATTCTGCTTTGTTTTGATGCCAATATGGAACTACAGTAGGCTTCACAAAAGTAGCAAGACAGTTTTTGATACTTCTCCACTTCACTTCCATACTATTTAGAGTTGAGACAGAAGTTTGCTGAATAAATACTACACTGAAGTAATGAAAAAAGACCAGACTATATTGATGTTTACAATTCTACCACTCAAAACTACAATTACTCTTTCCGGGGAACACAGTTCTTATACTCCACTGGGAGCCCTTTGTCTCTTCTGTAAGTGGTGCTACTTTGTAGTAAGTCAATTTGCTTTGCTTTCCTTGAGGCATCATTTTGTTGCTTCATGAGCACATTAGCACGATGTGGATTAGATTAGTTGATGAATTAGGGTGATTCAGAGCCTTTTCCAAATACCAATGGTATAAGATATAGTTTCTAAAAAGATGAAGCTGTCGTCTGTTGATGGAATGAGCTAAAGAAAACCAAAGCATTCAGCAGTTGACGTTTTTAACTTAGGGTGATGAGAAAGAATTGATCGTTACCTGGCAAGGAATCGCTCCACCCCATTCTTGCTGGACAATATTGCAAACGCCAACTAATGCAGACTCCAAGCAGGTTTTGTCATAATCATCCATGTTACTCAGTGCTTCCTTGTAGAATAAAAAACACAAGTGTTTTTATTGTTTGTTATCAGAAAACACAAATTGTTCAAAGTATACATGCTACACAGGGTACACCAAGTCTCTTGAGAGCCACAAAGCACAGGTTCTTTAGAGAAAAACAATGAGACAGAATTTTCTCAACTATAAAGGATATTTAAATTAGCTTTCTTTATTCTTTCCTCTTATTAGGTGAGTGTGGGCAGTTCCAAGCCTGTGTCTAAGTGGACTTGAAGGAAAATGAAAATACTGAAGTTAAGAACTAAAACACATTACAAAAATGAAAATTACAACTGTATCCAACCTTAACCACATGTTTTTTTCTTTTTCTTTTTTTTTTTTCCAAGACAGAGTTTCTCTGTATAGCCCTGACTATCCTGAAACTCATTCTGTAGATCAGACCAGCCCCAAACTCAGAGATCCACCTGCCTCTCTGTCTCCTGAGTGCTGGGATTAGAGGCGTGCACCACCACTGCCCAGCTATTACTCACACTTCAAACACCATTTGCAGCATTTATATACATTTGACCATCTTGCCACTGCCTCTTTTAAACAGGGAAACTGAGGTACAGAATGATGAACTAACTTTCTCATGATATGAGGTGACAGAGCCTAACTCTGAATCCCAGCAGACTGACTTCAGGGTTCCAGATCTTAATTATGGCTTCTCAGTGCCATATACAGCAATTCTCCCAATTTCAGAACCCTGAATATCAGACTCTTTAAGCTTAATCACTTGTGAGAAAAAGAGTAAAAGCCAGGCAGGGTGGTGCATGTCTATAATGCCAGTACTCAAGAGGCTGAGGAAGATTGAGAATTGGAGGTCTGCCTGGGTTATACAAAAGACCTTGTCTTAAATCCCCTCAAAGTGAACGAGTACATTTAGAAGAAAAAATAAAATGGGAGCTAAAAAAAGGACCACCTTGAGCCGGGCAGTGGTGGTACACGCTTTTAATCCCAGCACTTAGGGCAGAGGCAGGCAGATTTCTGTGAGTTTGAGGCCAGCGTCGTCTACAGGAGCTAGTTCCAGGACAGGCACCAAAGCTACAGAGAAACCCTGCCCTGAAAAACGGGGGTGGGGAGAACACCTTAACAAAAACGTTTTCCTTACATATATATTTAAAATACTTAATTTGTGTGTATACCTGTATACATTATACATGTGCACCACATACATGCAAGAGCAATAAGTGCTCTTAAGTATTCTTAACTACTGAATCATTTCTCCCGCCCCCTTTTCATACATACATATATATATATGTGTGTGTGTGTGTGTGTGTGTGTGTGTGTGTGTGTGTGTAGATAGATGGATAGATAGACAGACAGATAGATAGTATTTATGCATACAGTGTTCTGCCTGCATGTATCCCTCTCTGCAGGCCGAGAGGGTACCAGATCTCATTACAGATGGTTGTGAACCACCATGTGGTTGCTGGGAATTGAACTCAGGACCTCTAGAAGAGCAGCCAGTGCTCTTAATCTCTGAGCTATCCCTCCAGCCCCCATAAATATATTTTTAATTCAGTCTAAATTGATCCTTGCTTTCTAACTCGCTTAACTATCACTTAAACTATTCAGTTTAATTCCGCAAATACAAGGGACCAATGTACTGTTAAGCACTCCTAGAAATATCAATGATTTAAAGATATTGGAAAGTAAATTCTTTGGAACACCGCAGAAAAGCCTTGAAGATAATAGTTACTGGCCAAGGTTTAAAAAGTGTATCTTGGGCCTGGCAGTGGTGGTGGCGCACGCCTTTAAACCCAGCACTGGCGG